TGACTGTCGTAAACCCCACAGAAATAACCCATCTCTTTGCTCTTGCCTGCACCTCTGACACTTGGCTCGCCCACAGGTAGTGGCACCTACAATCATGTGTGTGTGTGTGGGGGCGGGGGTGTGTGTGTGTGTGTGTGTGTGTGTGTGTGTGTGTGTGTAGAATCTTATGGATGGTTCTTGAGCTCACTGCAGGCTGAGTGAGACCTCACCCTACCCAGCCCCTCAACCCCATTCCCCAGACCACAGAACCTGCAAAGAGATCACAGAGCTGCATAGTGGGAGCACAAGGAGGAAGTGCCCTGGGTGCTTCCCGGTATGTCCCCTCTCTAGGTCGACGGTCTTGCAGCAGCAGTATAACCGGGTGGGGAAGGTGGAGCACGGCTCTGTGGCCTTGCCTGCCATCATGCGCTCTGGAGCCTCTGGGCCTGAGAACTTCCAGGTGGGCAGCATGCCGCCTGCCCAGCAGCAGATCACCAGTGGCCAGATGCACCGCGGACACATGCCTCCTTTGGTGAGAGGGCCCCCACCGCCACCCCCACTGGGCCCAGCCAGGAGTTAAACAGTCTCTTCCCATGTCCCTGTCTGTATTCCCATCCCTTACTTCCGGTTGACTTTTTTACCTTCTCTTTCCTCTAAATATTCCATTCTAGTCCCCGTGACTCCTCTCCTTGTCTTACAGACATCAGCCCAGCAGGCACTCACTGGAACCATCAACTCCAGCATGCAGGCTGTGCAGGCTGCCCAGGCCACTCTGGATGATGTTGATGCTCTGCCTCCCCTAGGCCAGGATGCCGTGAGTATGGGGTGAAAGAGGCCAATGGTAGTGAAGCTGGGACCCCCCTCTCCCCCGCCCCCCAGGACCCAGGTTAGGGTTAGGGTTAGTCAAAGCAGAGCAGACCCTGAGGTTTGCTTCTCTTTCCCTCAGGCCTCCAAAGCCTGGCGTAAGAACAAGATGGACGAATCGAAGCATGAGATCCACTCCCAGGTGGATGCCATCACCGCTGGTACTGCCTCAGTGGTGAACCTGACGGCAGGTAGGCTGGATCTGAGCGCTGTATGTGGGGGGGGAGGAGAGAGCGGGCGTGTGTCAGCATGAGGGAGACAGGCTGCACCTTGAGTCATGGAAGGGATGTGTGTGCACTTCACACAGGATGTGTGTGTGACTAACTGTGACTGTACCACCTCAGCCCATCTGCCAGCCTGCCCTGGGTCTCACACGTGCTCCTGTCCTCCCCTCCCTTCAGGAGACCCTGCAGAGACAGACTACACAGCAGTGGGCTGTGCAGTCACCACGATCTCCTCCAACCTGACGGAGATGTCCCGTGGCGTGAAGCTGCTGGCTGCGCTGCTGGAGGATGAAGGCGGCAGTGGCCGTCCCCTGCTGCAGGCGGCGAAGGGCCTTGCGGGGGCAGTGTCAGAGCTGCTGCGCACTGCCCAACCAGCCAGTGCCGAGGTCAGGGACCCGGGGTCCGCACTGGGGAGGAGAGGGAGCTCCGGCCCAAGGAGAAGAAGCCAGTCCAGTTAAGGATGGCAGTACAGGAGCCATGAGCATGGACGGCACATGGGCAGGGCTGGGCAGCTTCTGACTGGTGTTCACTCTCCACAGCCCCGTCAGAACCTGCTGCAAGCGGCTGGGAACGTGGGCCAGGCCAGTGGGGAGCTGTTGCAGCAAATTGGGGAAAGTGATACTGACCCCCACTTCCAGGTTGGTGACTTACGCAACTTCCAGAACCCCGCTAGGAGGTAACCTGAGATCCAAAACCCACTACATGAATTGACCCCTCAGAGCCAACCTGAACCTGTTTCCGGAACTGACACTGGGATCCCCCAGGCTCTCTTTGAGGGGATGAGAGAGAATTCAGAAACACCAAATCCAAACTTGACCTACAGGTTCACCCTTAGCCCTCACTGATGATGTTTTTAGCCATCTGTCATCTTTTCCCTATTTGCCCATACGTGACCACTTGACCCCCTTGCCAATCCTTTAGCTCATAGAACCCCGAAGACACTGTTCTCTAGTTCCCCCCTTTCTTGCCCCATACCATTCTCCTCAGCTGACTTGTCATCCTGGATTTCCCACGCAGATATGTGCACCCAGAGGGGCTGGGGTTCGATCTCCCCCCGACCCCCCCACGGTAACGGCCTCTGGCCTGGGCCTTCCCAGCTTTCTCCTCTCTGAGCCGCATACACTCGCTTCTGCACCCTGCCTCATGGGGAGCAGATGTGATGGGAGTTGGGGAGGCATGGCACAGGCAGGACTTGAGAAAGTGGGATCAGGTCATACAGGGACTTGTTCCCAAGACTCCAAGGTGACTACTTTCAAACCAAGATTGAGAAGAAACAGGGAAAAGAAGCCAGGGGTGGGCGGGAACCTAAGAGGCCCCTCCTCTCACCACCACCTCCCCACCGCAGGCCGAGTGTATCCGCCTCATGCCTTTCTCCCTTTGGTGTAGGTTGTTTCTCTTGGTGTGGGCTTGTTCTTGGTGAGGGATCGCTCCTACTGGGTGCTCAAGGCAGGGGCTTGGGGTAGATTACGGTTGCTTCTGCATACACTGTCCTGTGATTGGAGTCAGTGGGGATAATGAAACAGCTTATGCCTCTGGATCCCTGGAACCCAAACCTGGTCTCAGTCAGGCTGACTGCGGTTTCTCACAGGATGTGCTGATGCAGCTCGCCAAGGCTGTGGCAAGTGCTGCAGCTGCCCTGGTCCTCAAGGCCAAGAGTGTGGCCCAGCGGACAGAGGATGCGGGTCTGCAGACCCAGGTTATTGCCGCGGCCACGCAGTGTGCCCTGTCCACCTCCCAGCTGGTGGCCTGTACCAAGGTGAGCCCCCAGTACTGAGGCGTGCTGTTGCCGTGTACACAACAGCCTCTCATTTGATCTCTCCCTAGACCTCAGTCCCAGCCCAGTGACTGTCGTAAACCCCACAGAAATAACCCATCTCTTTGCTCTTGCCTGCACCTCTGACACTTGGCTCGCCCACAGGTAGTGGCACCTACAATCAGCTCACCCGTCTGCCAAGAACAGCTGGTGGAAGCAGGCCGACTGGTAGCCAAAGCTGTGGAAGGCTGCGTGTCTGCCTCCCAAGCAGCCACAGAGGACGGGCAGCTGCTGCGGGGGGTAGGAGCGGCAGCCACGGCTGTCACCCAGGCTCTGAATGAGCTGCTGCAGCACGTGAGGGCCCATGCCACCGGGGCTGGGCCCGCTGGCCGTTACGACCAGGCCACCGACACCATCCTTACTGTCACTGAGAACATCTTCAGCTCCATGGGTGATGCTGGTAAGCACACCACCCCCGGGAAGAGAGAACCCCGAGCTCACTGGACATGCCCTTGCAGAGCTGCCTGCTCCCCCTGAGCAGTGAACTCCCAGTTCCCCACCTGTAAAGAACAGTCCCTGCTCTGCCTTCTTGGTGCATATAAAGAACATACCAAAAACAGATGGAAAGCAGCACTAATAAGAGTCATTAGCCTTCCCCACTCCACTCCACCCCCTCACCCTCAAAATCTTTCAGTTTCTCATCCTCAAGACTATTTGCTGAAGACACCCATTGGAGACTGTCCTTCCTCCCATCAGAGCCTACCAGGAAATCTGTTAACTCCTAGATCCTAAACCCAGATAATGATAATTCCAGGGAAATCATTTCAAGCATCTTCACTTGCCTACAGCTGCTGTTTCCTGTCTGGAAAAGGCTTCTACCTGTCATGTCCTTTGCCCCACCCCCCAGGGTCCTCTCAGTGTCTCTGCTTCCTTACCTATGCCCTGTTCTCAGGTGAGATGGTGCGCCAGGCCCGCATTCTAGCCCAAGCCACCTCCGACCTGGTCAACGCTATCAAGGCTGATGCTGAGGGGGAGAGTGATCTGGAGAACTCCCGCAAGCTGTTGAGTGCTGCCAAGATCCTCGCTGATGCCACAGCCAAGATGGTGGAGGCTGCCAAGGTACAGAGCCTTCTGTGTAGACCCCTACACCGGGCCCTGAAGGGAAGTAGAAAGGTCCAGATGGTCATCCTCCTGGGGGAAATCCAGGAAAACAGAAAATACAAGAGAGCAAATAGAGGAGACCTGGGAAGGAAGTGCACCCCTAGGCTGTGGGGGGGTTGGCTGGCAGCCGGTGTAACCCAGTGTGACACTGACTGACAGGCAACTGTGCCTTTTTTTCCCCTGACTCTAAAAGTCTGTTCTTCCTACTTTTCCCCTACTTACTGCCACTGTCTGACTGGGATCCCCTCTACTTCCTGGTCTTCCTGTGAAGGCCCAGACATGTTCAGTCAGAGCCTCTCCTCCTAGCAGAACAGAGGAAGACTAGGCAGTTGGACACAGGCACCCAGAGCAGAGACCATCAGGGAGACCCAAGATTCCCAGGTCCCAGGTCCCAGCTCCTAGTTTGCAGGAGTAGCCCCGTCCCCTGCTTTGGTGTTCTTGAGATCTCTGCTGTCCTCTTCCTGCTAGTGGCTTTCTGTGAGGAGTGGGGAAGAAATGTGGCCCCTCCCCAATGAGGGGAAGGAAAAATATTCTGCCTAATGGATTTCAGCATTCCAAAGGGAATCCTGAGGCAGCTCCTTTCCAGGGACTACCTTCCAGAGGGGACATTCAGAAAAATAAGTCTGGCCCTGGAGGGGTTAGGATCCATGGGGTCCTGAGTAGTGACTGTCTCGCCACCTCTCTCAGGGAGCAGCTGCCCACCCCGACAGTGAGGAACAGCAGCAGCGGCTGAGGGAGGCGGCTGAGGGGCTGCGCATGGCTACCAATGCAGCTGCGCAGAATGCCATCAAGAAGAAGCTGGTGCAGCGCCTGGAGGTAAAGCTGGGAGAGGCAGGAGCAACACAGTGTGGGTACTGTGGGAAGAAACTGGAAGGGACACAGGGAGAGAATCAATGAATATGTTCCTGGGGGCAGCTTGGGCACGGTCGGCCTGGCCCTGGGAATGCCCGGGGCCTGTCCTGACTTTCTGTCCTCACAGCACGCAGCCAAGCAGGCTGCGGCCTCAGCCACACAGACCATCGCTGCGGCTCAACATGCAGCCTCTGCCCCCAAGGCTTCTGCTGGCCCCCAGCCCCTGCTGGCACAGAGCTGCAAGGTGAGACTCCAGGAATCATCTGGGGGCAGAAGAAGGTGTGGGAAGAGGGACACTTACTCCCCCAGCTTGTGGGGAGGTGCTCTTGTGACATTTTCACCTGCAGGCTGTGGCGTATCAGATTCCACTGCTGGTGCAAGGTGTCCGAGGAAGCCAGGCTCAGCCTGACAGTCCCAGTGCTCAGCTGGCCCTCATCGCTGCCAGTCAGAACTTCCTGCAGGCAAGACACCCTCCCCCGCCTCTCAGACCAGACCCTCCCACTCCTTTGAGACGCCTAGATCTTCCTCCCACAATTAAATCTCTCTGCCAGTGGCCTCTGTCCCAGAACTAAGCCCCAGTGCTCAGCACATCCTGGCCATCATCAGTCCTGTCCCCAAGCCTGTAGGGAGGATCTACACTTTATCTGCTCTCCTGTTCCCCAACAGCCAGGTGGGAAGATGGTGGCAGCTGTGAAGGCCTCAGTGCCAACAATTCAGGACCAAGCTTCAGCCATGCAGCTGAGTCAGTGTGCTAAGAACCTTGGCACTGCGTTGGCCGAACTCCGTACTGCTGCCCAGAAGGTATGGAAGCGGGCTCTCTTTTTGGAAGATGAGGGAGGAGTCCTGGGATGACAGAGCAACCTGTGCAGAGCAACCTGAACCATGTAACCTGAGGCATTGGTGGCGCAGCAGTTCCTACTCCCCCCTACCACCCCCTGTCGCTGTAGGCTCAGGAAGCGTGCGGGCCTTTGGAGATAGACTCTGCGCTGAGTGTGGTACAGAATCTGGAGCGAGACCTGCAGGAAGTGAAGGCAGCAGCTCGAGATGGCAAGCTTAAACCTTTGCCCGGGGAGACGGTAAGATTCTTAAGACCTCATTCTTCTCAGACCTGAAGTCCCCACCCCCACCCCCACCCATCGCCCTGCAGTGCACCAAACCTTTACTTATAAACAGCCTGATGTCCCCAAATGGTTTCTCAAGTTGCTGCATCCTAAGCCTCTGAGTCTCCCCTTTATCCTTAGATGGAGAAATGTGTCCAGGACCTGGGCAACAGCACCAAAGCTGTGAGCTCTGCCATTGCCCAGCTGCTGGGGGAGGTTACCCAGGGCAATGAAAATTATGCAGGTACGGGGTAGAGCCCACAAGGGGCATGTGGTGAAGGGAGTGGGAGGGAAGGAGCTGGTGGGCTGACGGAGAGGTGACTGCGGGCACACCACTGGCATCGGGGCCTGCGTGAGGGTGCTTTTCCCTTCCTCCCCCTTCTTGTTCCTCAGGTATTGCAGCTCGGGATGTGGCAGGTGGGCTGCGGGCACTGGCCCAGGCCGCGAGGGGTGTAGCTGCCCTGACATCAGACCCAGCAGTTCAGGCCATCGTGCTTGACACAGCCAGTGACGTGCTGGACAAGGCCAGCAATCTGATCGAGGAAGCAAAAAAGACAGCTGGCCATCCCGAGGACCCTGAAAGCCAGCAACGACTTGCCCAGGTCGGGTGGGGAGAGAGGCCACTTCCTCCCTCCCCCCCAGGTCCCTTCTGAAAGGCCAGGTCTCATCCACGTTGACAGAGGAACCTCTTCTTTGTTCTGCTCTTGAGCACCTGTCTAGAATCTACCCTTTTTTCTCTCCATCTGTTAGACTAAGGCAGGGGCCTAGCTAACCACCAAGTGTGCGGAGGTTTGGTCACTTCACTTGATGCCCCGGCGCCAGCCTGATCAGCCAAGTCATCCCTCTCTTGCCTCTTTCACTTTCAGTGGCAGTAGAGCTAGTTACCTCCCATGTCCCGGGGGATTCCCGGATGGTTTCCTTGTGGGCAATCCCCATTCCTTTCCCACCTCAGGTGGCTAAAGCCGTGACGCAGGCTCTGAACCGCTGTCTTAGCTGCCTGCCTGGCCAACAAGACGTGGACAACGCCCTGAGAGCAGTTGGAGAAGCCAGCAAGCGACTCCTGAGTGACTCGGTAGGTGTGCAGCAGGAGAGGGGGAGCGTTGGAGTCAAAGAACTCCATAGGCCCCTCCTTGACCCTGGCTTCCCAGCTCTGCCCCTCTGTTAGCTCCCAGCCTACTGCCCGCCTCCCTGCTCAGGCCCTGCCGCACATCATTCTGTTTTTGCATCTGGCTTCCTCTCTGATCCGCAGCTTCCGCCCAGCACTGGGACATTTCAAGAAGCTCAGAGTCGATTGAATGAGGCTGCTGCTGGGCTGAATCAGGCAGCCACAGAAATGGTGCAGGCCTCTCGGGGCACCCCTCAGGACATGGCTCGAGCCTCAGGTCGATTTGGACAGGACTTCAGCACCTTCCTGGAAGCTGGCGTAGAGATGGCAGGACAGGCTCCGGTATGAGGCGTGTCGAGAGGGTCTGACTCGGGTTAGAGTGACCCTTGTGTCACCACAGGGTCCTAGCTGCTCCTAGCTCCTTTTAGAGACCGATGAAAGGACTGTACAGTGTGTTGACCTTCTCGCTTTTAACAGAGTCCGGAAGACCGCGCCAAGGTCGTATCCAATTTGAAGGGTATCTCCATGTCTTCAAGCAAACTTCTTCTGGCTGCCAAGGCCCTGTCCACAGACCCTGCTTCCCCCAATCTCAAGACTCAGCTGGCTGCGGCTGCCCGGTTAGTACAAGCTGGGAAGTCCAGCCTGGAATGTTGGGGAGCCTGGGAAGGGGACATTTCATGAGAAGTCCCCCACTTAGGAGTGGTTCCAGGCAAGAGAAATAGCTAGAGACCCCAGAATGATGACCTCTGCACCCATTCACTCAGCTTTCTGCTCCCCCAGGGCAGTGACTGACAGCATCAACCAGCTCATCTCCATGTGCACCCAGCAGGCGCCAGGCCAGAAGGAGTGTGACAATGCCCTCCGGGAGCTGGAGGTAGGCACCTCGCAGGCTCAGTGGGGTTGAGGCTGAGAAAACTGTTCTGGGGAGGGAGGCGCGGCGTGTGGGAGGCTGGGGTCTTGGACTCACTGCACCCTCCCCTATTCAGACGGTCCGGGAGCTGCTAGAGAACCCAGTCCAGCCCATCAATGACATGTCCTACTTCGGCTGCCTGGATAGCGTAATGGAGAATTCCAAGGTAAGTGTGACCAGGCACCCAGGAGGGAGGACAGCCTGGGAGTTGGCTGCTCTCCCCCTGAGAATAGACTCTGACTCACCTGATACCCTTTGTTCCTCAGGTCCTGGGTGAGGCCATGACTGGCATCTCCCAAAATGCCAAGAACGGAAACCTGCCAGAGTTTGGGGAGGCCATTGCCACCGCCTCCAAGGCCCTGTGTGGCTTCACGGAGGCAGCTGCACAGGTCACTGTCCTAGGATGGCTCCCAGAATGCCCTGCTTTCCCACCTCATCGCAGTCTGCCACGCACGTAGATCAATCTAAAAGTGATCTTTGCCAAGCCAAGCCAACCCTATGCAAACCAGGTTCCCCCCTCTGGAGGTGCCTGGCATCCGTCACACAGCACCAGGAGTTGCATTCACTAGCGTGCCGGGCCATGGCGCTGCAGCTTGACGCTGCCCGACCAGGGGCACTTTCCAGCCCTGGCTTTGGCGCCTGACCTGCACGTGTCAGCAGATGGCAGTCACTGCTGTGTAAAATAGTGACCGTGACCAAGTTTCTAGTTACTCAAGTCACCTTTTAACTTTGTCTTCTTCTGCATTATCAAGTAGAGAACCATCCAGAGAGCATTTTGCTCTAGTGCATAGATCGTTAAGCCATCCTGGCTTGAGAGTCATCATCATCAACTGTTTTTTCCCTGAAAGCCCAAAGACCCAGCACACACACATTTAAGTAGAAGTGTGACGCAACCCTTGCTGTGTGGTTTTTCCTTTGTTAACCTTCTGAATGTTTGAACACACTTAATGAAACAGGAAAGGTTCAGTCTTTCCCTCTTTACAGTGTAACTACTTTGTTAATAACCCCCCACTCACACAGCCCCCGCTGCCAAGCTTGCCCCTCTCTGTCTCCGCTGTCACCGTTGTGTTGCCTACTGTGGCATAGTTTTTTATTCCTCACCCCCACCCCTGCTCTCTCCACAGGCAGCATATCTGGTGGGCGTCTCCGACCCCAACAGCCAGGCTGGACAGCAGGGACTGGTAGAGCCCACACAGTTTGCTCGTGCAAACCAGGCAATTCAGATGGCCTGTCAAAGTTTGGGGGAGCCAGGCTGCACCCAGGCCCAGGTAACGAAACGGGCAGGTACCACAGGAGAGGCCACTGGGTCAGGATGGAGTGACCCAGCAGGGAAGTGCGGGGCGTGGGGAAGGAGAGGGTGGAGCCCAGCCTGGGCCCTTCCATGCGCAGCTTCTCTGGCTAACTGTCTTCTGACTGTTTCTCACCTTCTCTTGGTTACTGCTGAAGTTCACCTCTTCTCAGCGAGCTTTGGACTTACTCTGCTGCACACCCTCTGCATTTCTCCTTTAGTGTCTCTGTCCACCCCCAGATCAATCTCTGTCTCCCAAATCTCAACCCTTCAGGGTCACTCTGTCTCCAGAGTGACTTCCAGTACCTTGCTCTCCATCCCGTAACATACAGCGGCTCCTCCTGGGGGTGGGCGCTTCCCTCCCGCCCTCATCATCACCTTCCACATGTATTGCTTCTTCAGGTGCTCTCTGCAGCCACCATTGTGGCCAAACACACCTCTGCGCTGTGTAACAGCTGCCGCCTGGCTTCCGCTCGGACGGCCAACCCCACCGCCAAGCGCCAGTTTGTACAGTCAGCCAAGGAGGTGGCCAACAGCACCGCCAACCTCGTCAAGACCATCAAGGTTCCCAGCGTTTGAATTCCCTAAGCTCCTGTTCATTCCCTAAGGCCTTCCACCAAATCCCTGTGTCTGAACCAAGCTCCACCCCCACCCTTTCCACCCAGGGGAAGGCCTGGGCTTTGCCCCTGGGCTGCAGTCTTTCCTGAGGCCCTCGCTGTCCCTCCCACCTGCAGGCGCTCGATGGGGCCTTCACGGAAGAGAACCGTGCCCAATGCCAAGCAGCAACAGCCCCTCTGCTGGAGGCTGTGGAAAACCTGAGTGCCTTTGCGTCCAACCCTGAGTTCTCCAGCATTCCTGCCCAGATCAGTCCTGAGGTGAGGCGAGGCAAAGAGACAGCTGATGGGCCAGCTCTCCCCACATCTTCTCAGAGTCCAAAAACTCAATTCCCCGCCTCTCCTCCCCGCAGGGCCGAGCTGCCATGGAACCTATTGTGATCTCTGCTAAGACAATGTTGGAGAGTGCTGGGGGGCTGATCCAGACAGCCCGGGCCCTGGCAGTCAACCCCAGGGATCCCCCAAGCTGGTCAGTGCTGGCTGGCCACTCACGTACCGTCTCAGATTCCATCAAGAAGCTTATTACGAGCATGAGGTATGGAGTGTGTGGAGAACAGTTATGACCGCAGACATATGTGGTGCAGAATAGAGGGGTGACAGGGGTGCCATTAGATAGGCCTGTATTGGAGGAGACCTCTTGTCACAGGTTTAGGGGATCCAGGGTAAGATGGGCTAGCTTTGTTTTAAAGGGGTGGTCTTGGAGTTGGAGCCTGTGATGTGTCTGCAGGGACAAGGCTCCAGGGCAGCTGGAGTGCGAGACGGCCATTGCAGCTCTGAACAGCTGTCTGCGCGACCTAGACCAGGCCTCCCTTGCTGCGGTCAGCCAGCAGCTTGCTCCCCGTGAAGGGATCTCTCAAGCGGTAAGGGGGAAGAGGGCTCTGTGAGAGGTTGTGTCTGGGAGGAGAGGGTGGATGTGAGGAGTATGGGGGGTCTTGGGGGTTGGTTTCAAAGAGACATCAGGGGGATGGAGCCTGCTGAGGGAGGTTGGTTCGTTTGGTAGGGGAGGAGGAGTGGGTCCCTGCTCGGGTGGCACTTGGGGCTAAAGTCTGCTTCCTCCCCAGGCCTTGCATACCCAGATGCTCACCGCAGTGCAGGAGATCTCCCATCTTATCGAGCCACTGGCCAGTGCCGCCCGGGCTGAAGCCTCACAACTGGGACATAAGGTATCTGAGGAGAAAAGTGGGGTGCTCCAGGGAATGGAGTGAAAGAGGATGCATGCCCAGCTGAGCTTCTTCCCAACCCCTCGCCTCAGGTGTCCCAGATGGCTCAGTACTTTGAGCCACTCACCCTGGCTGCAGTGGGTGCCGCCTCCAAGACCTTGAGCCACCCGCAGCAGATGGCGCTCCTGGACCAGACTAAGACCTTGGCAGAGTCGGCCCTGCAGCTTCTGTACACGGCCAAGGAGGCTGGTGGTAACCCCAAGGTACCGAGGGCTGGGAAGGCCAGGCTGCTACTAGAACGGTTGGGGAAGCAGGAAAACAGCACACCCTGGGCTTACGCGCTTTCCCCTTCCCTTCAGCAAGCAGCTCATACCCAGGAAGCCCTGGAGGAGGCCGTGCAGATGATGACGGAGGCCGTGGAGGACCTGACGACGACGCTCAACGAGGCAGCCAGTGCTGCTGGGGTTGTTGGTGGCATGGTAGACTCCATCACCCAGGCTATCAATCAGGTTAGAGTCTTGGGGGTGCCTGTGGGCATGGAGGTGCTCCTGAGCCAAAGTTCTCAAGCACCATGGCAGAGGCCCTGACCACTTCTTCCTTCCCCCATCCTCCCCTTCAGCTAGATGAAGGACCAATGGGCGAACCAGAAGGTTCCTTTGTGGATTACCAGACAACTATGGTGCGGACAGCCAAGGCCATCGCTGTCACTGTTCAGGAGATGGTGAGTGTGGGAGAGGGGTACAGGGGGTCTGCCCCGTCGAGAGCTGAGTCTAAACATAATGTCATTTCCGCCATATCGCCAGGTAACCAAGTCAAACACCAGCCCTGAGGAGCTGGGCCCGCTTGCTAACCAGCTGACCAGTGACTATGGCCGTCTGGCCTCGCAAGCTAAGCCTGCAGCTGTGGCTGCTGAAAATGAAGAGGTAAAGATGGAGGCAGCTCTGACCTCCCCCCGCTCCCCACAGGAAGTCCCAGTGCTATGTCCCTTGTCCCCATCATGTCAGCCTCTGGGGCTGTCCCACCTGCAGAGCCATTTCACTACGGAGTCATCAGGGCTCTGTGCAGCAACCGTCAAAGCCTTCGGTACAGGGATGAGGCACCAGCCTAGAATCCAGAGGCTTCCCTGCCTGCTGGGTTTCTAGCCCTCCTCCGGCTTGCGGCTGCTTCTCCATTATACTCCAAGTCTATTCCCTTCTCACGCCTGCCTGGTTGCAAACCTACGAAGCTCTTCCTTCCCTAAGCTCCTGGCTTTCCAAGAAAGCAAGTAATTGGATCCCAACATGACACACCTAATCCCCAGCCCCAAAACCCTGCATCACCCGGTACAGGCTAAGTTGTAATCCATGCCCTCTGATTCAAATCCCCAGCATAAAGTGCTGTCCCCGCCTCCTCACTGTGCTTAGCAAGTGGTCACCAGTTGGTGCCTACGTGCTATTATTCTCCACATGGGGGGAGGTGACCGCCTGCCTAAAGGGTGTGAGACAGGAAAAGCCTGTGTGCTGGACCCTTTTCCTATGCCCTGAGTCTATGGTATGGGTTTTTCTATGTCCTTGGTGACTTCTCCAGGCACTGAGTGCCTCTTGTAAAACCCATCTCCTCTCCCACCTTTTCACAGATAGGTGCCCACATCAAGCACCGGGTGCAGGAGCTGGGGCACAGCTGTGCTGCTCTGGTCACCAAGGCAGGTGCCCTGCAGTGCAGCCCGAGTGACGCCTACACCAAGAAAGAGCTCATAGAGTGTGCCCGGAGAGTCTCCGAGAAGGTGACTGTGCTCATCCTGCAGACTGGGGGGGGCTGACTCCCCAACCCTGCAGCCATTCCTGTCCTGCTTCAGCCTTCCCAGCCTCCTCCCAGTTGTGGGTGACTTTCCTTGCCACATGGCTTCTACCACTGTCACCATGTGACCTTCCTTCCCAGGTCTCCCACGTGCTGGCTGCACTCCAGGCTGGGAATCGTGGCACGCAGGCCTGCATCACGGCTGCCAGCGCCGTGTCCGGCATCATTGCTGACCTTGATACCACCATCATGTTTGCCACCGCCGGCACGCTCAACCGAGAGGGCACTGAAACTTTTGCTGACCACCGGTGAGGAGGGAATTGGCCCTCAGAAAGACAGGGTGGGGCTCGGAGCCATAGGAGGCTTGAGAACTCACTAGCTGGGCTCCCCCTCAGGGAGGGCATTCTGAAGACTGCGAAGGTGCTGGTGGAGGACACCAAGGTCCTAGTGCAGAATGCAGCTGGGAGCCAGGAGAAGTTGGCACAGGCTGCCCAGTCCTCTGTGGCCACCATCACCCGCCTCGCAGATGTGGTTAAGCTGGGTGCAGCCAGCCTGGGAGCTGAGGACCCTGAGACCCAGGTATCCACCTGCCACCTGACAAATTCTAGCCAGACCCACTTCCTGTTCTGCTTTGCCCTCCCATGGACCTGAGCCTCCACTCTCGCACATAGGTGGTGCTGATCAATGCCGTGAAAGATGTGGCTAAAGCCCTGGGAGACCTCATCAGTGCCACAAAGGCTGCAGCGGGCAAAGTCGGGGATGACCCTGCCGTGTGGCAGCTCAAGAACTCTGCCAAGGTCGGAGGGAACAAGCAACGTCAGGAGAGGGAGTGGAGCAAAGCACTTCCTCCTGTTCCTAAAGTGACTCCTCCCCGACCCCTCTGACATCCCCAGGTGATGGTGACCAATGTGACATCCTTGCTCAAGACTGTGAAAGCTGTGGAAGATGAGGCCACCAAAGGCACGCGGGCACTGGAGGCGACCACTGAGCACATACGGCAGGAACTAGCGGTGAGCGCACGTTGGTGGCATGAGGGACGGCGTGGGTCAGGGACAGGGCTCGGCCGGACTGTGAACTTGTGCCTCATATGGTCACAGAAAAGTAAACAGCCACACACATTCCTCTCCCTCGCTGCCAGACTTCTCAAGTGAGCTGCACTCGTGTCTTTCCTCCTCACCGATTGACTCAGCGTTCCGGCAGCTACCCTTTTTCCCCACCGCCCTCCACCTTTCTCCAGTCTTGGCCTTCCACCTCTTCAGACATTTCCAAAGCATTCGACCCTGTTAACAAGCTTCTCTGAAATTCTTTCTTTGCCCTTCTTGAACTAGCTTTCCTCTTGCTTCTCAAACATTTCTTCTATATATAGTCATCACTGAGTCACCTTCACCTGGTAAACATGGAGGGCTTCCCAGGATTGTTCAAGTAGCCAGCCCTTTCCTCTCCTTGGGCCACTGTCACCACCTTCATTACTGTTCTCTCACAAGCTGACTTCTGTTTCTGAGTGTAGCTGTTTCGACCGCCTGTTGGACATCATCACCAAGATGCAGTGAATGGCTGTTCTGGCTACCATGCTGCCGTGGGGACAATTCACAGCCACAGAGATTCAGCCACCTTCGTCCTCCCTCATCCATCACATCCACATTGCTTGCAGGCCCTTCCAGCTGCGCGTCTCTGTTCTCTACCCCTTTCGTCCTTCCTCTCCACTCCCACCGCAGCGTTCAAATTCACATTTCCACCAGGGCTCCTCCCTTTGGCACTGTGTGGGTTCTCTCCCTGGTGTCTGCTCCCGCACGCAGCTCTCCTACTCATCTCTCTCATTTCTTAAATTCCGTTTTCTGATGTTCTGTCTTTACCTTTCCTTGGAAAAGTCTGAACTCTGTCCCTTAAATCCCGTCCTTCCCTCATCTTTCCCATCTCAGTAAATGGCACCTTTTAGAATCCATCCCTGTATTCTAGAACATTCCTTGTTACTCTGTCCCTTTACTCCTTGGTTATTCATGTCCTTCCATTTACATAAAATGTTCTCCCATTCTCTCCATCTCCTGTTTTCTTTTAAAGAATTGTTTATTTATGCATACAAGAACTGGGGTACAGGTCAGAGATACAGGGGTGGGGAGAGAGGATTCACCAGAGACAGTTGGGAGCAGAATAGGCAGATGTACTGAAGTCTACTGCTGAGGGGAGCAGCAGGTGATGCAGGTGAGGCAGGAGAGGGCTGCTGGGCCATGTGGGTCATCTCCTGGGCTGGGGATCTAATTCATGCTGCAGAGGCTGCAGGCAGCTTCATGGTGCTGTTTTAACCCTTTGCACCACAGGCAGGACCCTATCTCCATCTCTTAAGACCTACCTCCTTACCCATCCCCTGCCACTTACCCCTCAAAGCTTCTCCATAGTTTAGGAATGAAACCTCAGCTCACAAACCACTTTTTTTATTACTATTACCTTTCACCATTAATAGTTCTTTTGCAGTATTTGATTCCTCCCCTCAGTTATCCCATGCAGCACCCAAAGGACTGTCACTGTAGCCCTTTGGGCTCTTCCCTCCCATTTTGACCCTTCCCTCACCTGACCTCCCCTGCTATGGCCACAGATATGTGATCAGCTTGCAAGTTTTGTCATTTTCCTGACCCTGTGTTCAGTTCCCCTATTTTCCACCTGTAAGCGAGACCATCTGATATTTTCCTTTTCTGTCTGGCTTATTTCATGTAGCATGATCCCTTCCAGCTCCATCCTCAGTGCTACAAATGGCATGAGTTTTATCTTTTTTGGTTGCTGAGCGAACCCATCATGTATATATACCACATCTTTGTGATCAGTCATCTTTTGGAGGGGCATTTAGGCTGTTCCATCTCTTGGCTATTGTAAATAGCAGTTTCCTTTCAAATCAGTGCTCTTGTGTCCTTTGGATGGTTTCCAGGAGTGGAGTCACTGGCCCATTAGGTCGATCCATTTTTAATGTCTTGGGGGTCCTCCACACAGCTCTCCATGGTGATTGCACCAACTACTTCCCTAACTTCAGACAAACTCTCCCCAGTCACTTTAGTCGGAAATGACAGCCACCTCCCTTCTGTTATGTTAACTTTGAATGTGTGGACTTCTCCAGGGGCTTCACCTCTGGTAATTACTGGTGAATGTCTGTTGAATGAACCAAATTCCATAAATCGCCTACTGCATTGTTTCCATTTTTCTTCCTGTTCTGCACCAACAGGTTTTCTGTTCCCCAGAGCCACCTGCCAAGACTTCTACCCCAGAAGATTTCATCCGAATGACCAAGGGTATTACCATGGCGACAGCCAAGGCTGTTGCTGCTGGCAACTCCTGTCGCCAGGAAGATGTCATTGCCACGGCCAATCTCAGCCGTCGTGCTATCGCTGACATGCTTCGGGCCTGCAAGGTAGAAATTCTGGTGGTGAGGCAGAAGCGTCATCAGTGAGGCGGCTTCAGGGCAGACACAGGGAGAGAACTGCAGAGGCTTGGGCAGCTAGAGCACTCAGGGATCCTAAAACTAGCACGTTATTTCGTGGTGCAGGAAGCAGCTTACCACCCAGAGGTGGCCCCCGACGTGCGGCTCCGTGCCCTGCACTACGGCCGGGAGTGTGCCAACGGCTACCTGGAACTGCTGGACCACGTGCTGCTGGTAAGGAAGACGGCCACTCCGCCGGGCACGTGGGGGCCTTCTGCTCCCACGGTCCTCTTGTCACGAGCCTCAGATCCACCTATCCAATTTTTGTCCCTATTCCTCCCCTCCCCACCACTCTTTCCCGAATCTGTTCTTGTTTTCAAGTTGCCCTTCCACTGGGGCCCCATCGTTTTACCATCTTTGGTGCTCCCTCTCACCTCTTCCCCTCACTCTTTTCTTATCTCCTCTCTTCCCATCTGACCTCCCCCTTCTCTTCGTCACCTCCTCTCGCTCACCATCCTCCTTGCTCCCTGGCAGCCGGTGAGTGCCGGGCAGCCCTCTACCTCCTGCTGTGTGCAGTGTGATACCTCATGTGCACCGGGTGGGGGCATGCTGTGCTGGGGGCTGTGCTTGGGAGTGGGGATGGGAGGCCTGGAGAGCCCTGTTCCAGAGAACAGCTAGAGGCAAAGATCTGATGGTTTCTGCTTCCTGCTCCCCTCTTCCCCAGACCCTGCAAAAGCCAAACCCAGAACTGAAGCAGCAGTTGACAGGACACTCGAAGCGTGTGGCTGGCTCAGTCACTGAGCTCATCCAGGCTGCAGAGGCCATGAAGGGTGAGGGGCAAATGGGCAGGGAAGAAAGAGGACCTGGGACGGGATCTTGGGCTGCTCTGAGGAGCCCCTGCCCAGCATCCCCAAGGTGCCAGGGGCCTAGTGCTCTGGACCTCGCTGCTCTCTCTCAGTCCCCTTCTTTGCCCTTTCCTCCCTCCAGGAACAGAATGGGTGGACCCAGAGGACCCCACGGTTATTGCTGAGAACGAGCTCCTGGGCGCTGCGGCTGCCATCGAGGCTGCAGCCAAAAAGCTGGAGCAGCTGAAGCCGCGGGCCAAACCCAAGGCCAGTGCTGCCCGCCCTCTCCCCTACCTCACACTGTCACATTGTACCCACCAGTGGCCCTTCTCTGACTGTGTCTCTCTGCAACCATTGTCCTCTGTTTCAGGAGGCAGATGAGTCCTTGAACTTTGAGGAACAGATACTGGAAGCTGCCAAGTCCATTGCAGCAGCCACCAGTGCCCTGGTCAAGGCTGCATCAGCTGCCCAGAGGGAACTGGTGGCCCAAGGGAAGGTAAGCACTTGGACACCCAGGAGAATAGCAAGAGCAGCTTTGCTGTCTCGCCTGCTTGGGAGAGGGAGGCTTCTAAGTAGGGAGGACACAGGTCGAGCAGCAGCTGCCCCTTCTCACACAGGTGGGCGCCATTCCAGCCAACGCACTGGATGATGGGCAGTGGTCCCAGGGCCTCATCTCCGCAGTGAGTAGACAGCACCTACCGGGCTCCTCAGAGAGGGCAGCACAAAGACAGAGGCATATGCTAATCTAATCTCCCCACTTTAGGCCCGGATGGTGGCCGCAGCTACTAACAATCTATGTGAGGCAGCCAATGCAGCTGTACAAGGCCACGCCAGCCAGGAGAAGCTCATCTCATCAGCCAAGCAGGTCGCTGCCTCCACAGCCCAGCTCCTTGTGGCATGTAAGGTCAAGGCTGACCAGGACTCAGAGGCAATGAAACGGCTTCAGGTGGGGAACCCTGACCATCTACTGTACCTAGGGCTTTACTGCTTTGAACTGTCATCTCCAAGGAGATGCTGCTCTGCTTTCAGTGGGGCCCACCCTGAGTCCTCAACCTGTCTCTGTCTAGGCCGCTGGCAATGCAGTGAAGCGAGCCTCAGATAACCTGGTAAAGGCAGCGCAGAAGGCCGCAGCCTTTGAGGACCAGGAGAATGAGACCGTGGTGGTGAAGGAGAAGATGGTTGGGGGCATTGCCCAGGTGAGCTTGGCCCTGGGCATGCTGGGTAACACCACTAGCCTGTCAGTTCCATGGCCTCTGCCTGTCCCAACTACCCTAAGCCCTACCACACGTGCTCACTGAACTGAGTCCCCGACTTCCTTCCTCAGATCATTGCCGCACAGGAAGAAATGCTTCGGAAGGAACGCGAGCTGGAAGAAGCTCGGAAGAAGCTGGCCCAGATCCGGCAGCAACAGTACAAGTTCCTGCCTTCAGAGCTTCGAGATGAGCACTAGGCAGGCACTTCTATTTAAAGCAGACCCAGCCCAGAGACTGTGCCTGCCACTACCAAAGGTTTTGGGGTCATAGGGCCCAACCTACCCAACCCCAACACTCCCAAAGTGCCTGCCATTGCCAGGCCTGGCCCTGCCCAGTGCCACTGCACGTCCCGATCTCTTCCCCAAATCCAAGTGCCTTTGTGCCCTCGGGCCTCCTAAGTGCCTGCCCTTCCCAGAGTATTAACGCTCAGAGAGTATTATTAACGCTGCTGTACCTCAGTCTGAACCTGCCAGGGGCCTAGCCCACCCCACCCTGCCAGCAGCTTCCAGCATCCCCACAGCCACCTTCTTACCCTTTTTGATACTGTGTTCTCCACTCTTTTGACCCATGAGGTCCAAGCAGGAAATGTCCCAATAAAGGTGATTCCTCAACTTCTGCCTGGCTTCCTGGGGGAGAGTAGAGTTGAATTCTGTCACCCAGCTTGATGTGGCTCAGAAATTGAGTGGGGACAGAGTGTGCTGACCCACGCCGAGGCCCCTTCCTCTTCCTTGTACTCAAATCTCTAAAATCATCCACGCAGCAGCAAAGTTGGGCCTGAGAAGTCTTACTCCAATTGTCTCTGTCACTGGCCAGCCTACGCCTGAAGCAGCTGCTCTCTGTCTACCAGGGACACTCTGTTCTTCATAGCTAGTCACAGTATATGAGCAAACCCAGTCTCCATCCAAACTAGAGTTTTCAAAAGCAACTTTGCTAGAAATAATAAGTTTATAAAACACAAGTGTATGAACCTAAGAAAACTGTGGCCACAGAGTGGGTTGAGGCCACAACCCAATAATACAACCTGAGACAGCTCTGGTAGGTTCCCCTGTTGGTTGGATTTGGGCCTCACAAGGCCTTCAGAGGACTTGTCACTACTGCCTAGAAGAGGGCTAAAAACCAACCAGAAAGCTTTGACCCAGGGGTGAGACTGCATAATTTGGGGGCAGAGCTCCCCTAGTGGCAAGGCCCAGGCTGGTTGACCTTATTTTTTTTTCCTGCGTCCCTACTAACCTGGAGATTTGTGGGAGGTCACCAGGTGCCATGTGCTTCCACTCCCCTAGGCATTCACCCCCTCTGCCCATACCACACAGAATCCCTTTGACTCCCACCATATTGGGGTAAATTTCAAATAGAGGTAATTACTTTGTCCTCCTCAGGGCAGCCAGTAGGGAAGGTGCCAACTTCCTACCAGCATCATGTCATCTGTGAGTAATTCATTCAATATTTACTAAGCCATGCCCGTGCTAAGCACTGGAACATAAAGACGTATTATCACCTCTCTGACGCAGAGGACTGGCACCTCCAGCGCACGCTGTTGTGGCCCTCTTAACCCCAGATTCGGTGTCCCAGCGTCATGAGTTTAAGACCTGAGAGATCAAATCCCTTTTACAACCTCCCCACCAAGTGGTAATCCAGGCTGTTTCAGACTCCTCCAGCTGTGAGTCCAGGACAGCTGCTTACTCCTGCTGCCACTTCCCTGCCCTGACCTCAGAAAGGGTGGCCAACCACGTACTTCATTGGTGACACCTCAGGGAGCCAAGGAAGAAGTCTGAAGATACATTAGAACAGTCGTTCTCAGGCCCCTAGGAGTTTACCAGAGTAACGGCTCTGTAAATTTTATATTATTTTTTAAATATTTATTTATGCATGCAAAAGCTGAGGTGTAGGCCAGAGGTGCAGGGGCTGGGTGGGGGAGGGGAGGGGACAGTGACAGGATTCACCAGAGATAGGAGAAGTACAGGTAGATCAGTCAAGTATTTTCATAATGAAACTAGGGTCTTACTGGGACCTCCCTGGTGGCCTAGGGGTTAAGTCTCAGTGCTATTGGCAATATAGCCTCAGTTCAAGCCCCAGCCAGGAAGCTGATCCACATACCATGGCAGACCTTTCCTGTCTCACCTGCTGCTCCCTTAGCAGAGTATTTCAGTAAACCCATCTGCTTTGCTCCCCACTGTTAGGAGAGTGGATGCTTGTGAGTTCGGGTGCATTGTCAGTTGAAGGGTAAGAGCTACAACACCAAATATGAGAGCAAACAAATGTGGACTTACTGAAGCAAGAGGGAAAAAACCCTGACAGCAGGAAGGCCCCAGGGAGGGTGCCTTTTACTCCAGCCCTGTCTTGATTACACACTCTCAGACTCCTGATGGCCAATGTGCCAGACTATTGATTAGGCACGGAGTGGTCAGGAAGATTCATGATGGTTGTTTTTCTGTTCCCTAATAATCCTGTAACTGGATCTTACTCTAGGTAGTGGCTACCTCACCAACATTTCAATAATACACTTCTATTTTCCTGGGAGTTGTTTTGTTCCTTCTGTTTCTATATTGTTTAAAATCGCTGTCCCATACCTCAGCCCTTTCCATTCCCCAAGTTTTCCTGGCCTTAGTTCCTCTGTCTCTGATGAGTCCTTTCACCCCACCCCCCACACACACATCTCTGGCCTACACCCCAGTTCTTCTACACAATGAATGAATGAATGAATGAGTAGATAGAATTTTTTTAAAGATTTATTTG